CAAAAATGTATCTTTGGTGATTCATTACAACAAATAAATAGAAATCAAACAGCTTTTCGTTCTAGTTAGCAAAAAACAAGCTAGCATTAGCACTAGCGCAAACATGCTACAGGAAGTAAGAAATTTAACAGTAAGGCACACCTGCAGTTAACTATAACAGGGTGTGAATAAAACAGTTTTCGACATTAATGTTAATGAGGAATTTGTTTTGTTTTCAAGAAGGGCTTCTTAACTATTTTAAATCTGCTCTTCAGACCTCCTCTTCTTTACTTTTCACTCACTTTACACAGTGTAAATTCTGTTATATTTCCTATCAATTATGTATATTTCTTTTTATCCTACTTTTACATTGATTTTCTTTTTTTGTTTTACTTTTAAACACTCAATTATTTATAATTTCTAATATTTTATTCCAATTTAAACTTTTGTTTTTGATCAAGCATTTTGCTCAAAGCCTACATTTTTAAAGTTCCTCATAAAAAAAAAAAGTTATCCCTGCTCTGCTTATTAGTCCTAATAGTAGGACAACATGATAAAGGTTTATTTAGCAAAAAAGGATATGTTTTCTGACCATTTATATACCTATTATATATATATATTAAACTGTAACTGGAGTGTGTAACAAAAGTAATTTCCTTCAGGGATTATTAAAGTAGGCCTATTTGTGATTCGGATTCTGTATGTGTTGAACTGCAGAGGTGGATCAGACCCAAAGCATACAGCCAGCATCTCCTAGCCAATACTGAATTTTGACTTGACCTGCCAATTCCTTTTTTTTTTTTTTTTAAGGACTGTTACACCTCAGAGAGAAAAGAAGCTATGCTAATGAAACTATGCTTTTTGGAGGGGGGTGGATATTACAGTTTTAGATCCGGAAGAACATAAATTAATTTCAAGAGGACCAAGGCAAAACCAAACACTGATTGATTGATTGATCCTACATACCTAATTTTTATGACCTAACAATCATAATGCACCATATCAACTGGACTGAATGATTTTATAAAATCTTCCAATCAATTTAAATGATTACTGACATCGCAGTCTGCTTCGGCCCTTTTCACAAACATATTATTCCTGAATGTCACCGTATGCTGCTGCCATTCATTCACACCACAACTACAGACCTTTGCAGGAGGAACGTGATTTACAACAAGAATAGAAAATGTTTACACAAAGGAATCCTTCACAGAAGCCTCATACCCTACAAGATGTCACCACAGGCATAAGTATAAAAGAAAGAGGTTGATTCATCTTTAGAAACAATTAGCGACAAAAGAAATACAAGACCTGACGATGAAATCTTGTTCTGTAGATGTTAAATCCTATCCCAAGAGACCAGGGTTTATTTCACACACAAGTTCCTTAAGAGAGCCCCTTTTCAGCTCTTTTTTTAATCAAGTGTAAATTTGGGTCAGTGTATGCGAGAGGGTTGGTGTGCTGAGGAGCCACCTATCACATCTCAGCCATCAGTGGAAGGTATAGCAGCACAGAAAGCACCAACACTGAGCACATTCACAGAGCAAACACAGGCATCAAAATGAGGCGTGGGCTTGCTTTCGCTGGGGTAGCAGTTACAATGGGGCCTCTGGCACTCATGAATAATAGGAGACAGATAACTAACAATCCACACAGGGCAAGACCCTTATCTGTCAATTATGATCATATTCTTTTTTGGGTTGTTTTTTTTTTTTTTCCATTGGTGCTTCAGTCACCTGGCAACATGCAGCTCTCCTCAGAATAATCAGTTTTGCTATTTAGACTAGGTGGGACTTCATCCCATGTTAATGATTTGCATATCAGCTTAGATCACAGGAAAGTACATCTAGCAGTGCATCCTCATGGGCGGCTGGAAAACCCAAAAACTAATATTTCTCTGTGAATATACTGAATTATTGAGCTTATTAGTCAAAATTATGAGTTTGACCTGCAGGATGCAAACAAAAAAAAAGAAAGAAAAAAACTAGAAAAGGTAACACAATTCCTTAAATCTGATGGCCTGTCTCCAAAAATGAAGAGTTTTTTTGACCTTGCGGTACAACAGAGCTGTCAAATGAGAACTATTTCAAGTCTTGGGTTTGGTTTCCTATAGAAATAATAATAAAAAAGAGTGACGAGACGCAACCCGCGCTATAAAATCATATATTTACCTTTCAAATGAAACATAGAGCCCAGTCAAAGGAGGCTGGCCGGGATGTGATTTCCTCCCAGGAGCTCAGTAGACATACTGAGGGCTAAAATGGGACCGACTGCGCCTTTGGAGATATTTCAGGTAGCTATCCCAAAAGATGCGTCTTGGCTCCTATAATATTTGACGGCCTGTACAAGGAGCGATGCCCTTCAAGAAATCCATCAATTCCTCCTCCCAGCGATCCTCTCACACCATTAATAAGATGTCTTCATTTTTAGGATGAGTAAATAAAAAAAGGGGGGGGGCGCAAGGGGTGCGTGAGGGGTCCCAGTGTGGCTCTTTTTTTCTGGTGCGGGATCGCCTCTATTGCGCATCCAGAGGAGGAGAAAACGCCTTTAATACACGGAGCTGGTGTTGCGCTGAATCCGACCAGATGTTCGTCTCGCTTTCACTGTCTTTTTTTTTTTTTCTCAATCCGCAACGCAGGGCTCAGTCAGTGCGAGTTAATCCAGATTGACTGTCGTTGTAGGCGGTAAACTCCCCGCTTTGCCCCCGGACCGCTGTCTGCCACCGACCCGGCTCCATGTCTTGACCAGCGCCGCTGTGTCCGGAATGGTAATTCGTGCGCTCCGAGCTGCACAGAGAGCGTCTGTGTGCACAGGCAGATGCAGCAGTAACCTCGCAGCCTATCTCGCAGGCAGGCATCATTATTTATTCATGTAGACTGAACTCTGCTGCACGAAAAAATAAATAAATAAATAAAAAATGCAGCGGATTTATAGCCTAATCTGTGAGAATTAGGCTACTAAAAAAAAGCTGATTATTTTTGCTGAGATTCACACTCATGCCATGAAAGATAAACCAAACCCATCAGTTTCTTATGCATCAAGTATTTGTGGCATGGCTCTGCATTTTTTTGTCTTTCTTGGAAAAAAGCAAAAATAGCAGCCTGTACAGCAGAGCGTTCCCTTATGTATTAGATAGATTTTTGGCAAGAAAGTGTTGAGTTGGCTAAAGCAGAACGCCCTGGCTCCCTTAGGGTCTACTTGGCACTGAATCCATCATTATTTGATGCACCCACCCCAAAGCCTTTTGTGCAAGTTGGCAAAGTATGGCCTGTGTGAGTGCAAAAGTTGACAATGTCTGTTTTNAATCCATCATTATTTGATGCACCCACCCCAAAGCCTTTTGTGCAAGTTGGCAAAGTATGGCCTGTGTGAGTGCAAAAGTTGACAATGTCTGTTTTGATGTTTTTTTTTTTTTTTTGCAAAACTATCCAACAATCTGAACACCTTTTCTCATCTGGAAACCAACATTTATTTATTCTTTTTATTTGTCTTTGCAAATTGCTCCAGCATTGTGAAAAAAAATGTTTAATTATTTCCACTGATTTTTAAATGCACCATGATCTGGACTTAGATTAGGACATTATATCAGGGGATGTGAGTATATTTAAATGTTCAATTGTAGCTCTGACTGCAGGCGAACCTCCAGCCCAGTATCCAACCTTCTGCAGCCTCTAATAGGTTTTCTTCCAGGACTGCCCTGTATTTAGCTCCATCCATCTTCTTACCAGCTCTCAAACGTTTCCCCCAGTGCAAATCCTAATTAATGAGGAATACGGAAGATAAAACTCTCCTTTAAAACAAAGCAAAACTGTCTCTGCAAAGTAAAAGTTGAAAAAACTTCAATTTCTATGTTAACAGAATAGATATAACAAAACGCTGTTTGGAGGCAATAATAACTGGGTCATAAATTGCACATATTATGAGCTCACGCTTTGCCAATGTTAATTTTCGGCTTGCTGATAAAGTATCACAGTGGCAGATGTCCACACCTGACACAGATGACACTTCCCAAGATGCCAAAAGTCACAGAGAGTGCTGCAGGCACAGATGAGAGAGAGGAGGGGGAAATGTGTGGACTTATCACACCTTATGATGTTGCAATGCAATTTGCCAACATTGTCCAGTCCTGGCTGAAAGGGAGTTGGAGTCGATGAGACGAGTTCATCAGTCACAACTCTCGTTGTTTAGCCATTGATCACTGCAGCTCCTCCAGAGTAACATTGGGCTGCCTCTCTGATTGTTGCCATTCTAGCTGTTATTATGGTTTGGTTTAATGTCCTTTTCAGAATGATGGCTAAAGTGGTCACTGGCCCCACATTAAACTTCTCTCCACAACTCTTTACAGTTCATTTCATGAGCATAAATTAAACTCAGGTTTACCCTCTGTGCTTATATGGTAAATCCTAAAGGAAATAAACTGATTTTATTCATTAATATCACATTAAAAGAAGCTAATTAGTAAAATATTTATAAATAATTTAAAAAATCATGTTATATTGTTTCCACTTTATATTTATGCAGGGCTTTTTGTCGGTGTAGCACATAAAAAAGGAATAAAGCACATTAAAGTCTGTTTTGGACTGTAACAAAATATAAAAAACGTCAAGAGGTTTGAATACTTTTACAATTTTCTGAAACAAAGCCTCAGACCCTCTCCTTGGGCTTCTTGTGAAATAGCTGTTTGCTGTGATCATCATAAAATTGCCCCAAGGATTGGTAGGAATCAATTAACTAATCCAGTTCCACACAAGATCAATAGGAATAACAGGTGGCTAAGGGATTTCTCTAGAACTGGGATGACAGGAGCCCTTTGATCAGTTGATTGTGCTGTTTTGCATTCACACAATCTGATGGATATGTCTGGGAAAAAAAGAAAAAGAAAAAAAAAAGAGCTGCAATCAGTCTTTGTTGTTTCCCCTCATTTAGTGAGATCACCCACTAGTCAGTAAATTTCCAGCAGTTTCTTTCTTTTTGAAGTGATTTTAAACACACGCTGACACACAGTAAAAACCACACTTAAAAGCATTTTATTGTCTTTTGTTTGTCAGCCACATGGTCGATGGTGGCATTTTACTGCTGGGAAGTGTTAATGTCAGGGCTTGTCTCTGACCTACTGAAAAGTGTCTCATCTGTGTGATCGTCAGCTGACAGTTGGTGATATCAATGACGCTGCAATGCTTTTGTTTGTTTAGTTTTTTTTTTCCCCGTCTCCCTCTTTGCTCCTCAGGTGTTGAGACTCCACTATTCAAGTCACACAGAAAGGACTGGAAGGTGAGGGCCTCGGCACGCACTCCGATGCGGCTCTTTTTTACCAAGAACAGGGCCATGGTGTCCCACCGGGGGTCTGCGACGCTGCGACTCCACGGGGTCTCTGTGATCCCCAGTAGCTCACGTACACGAGCAGAGATGACCTGCAGGACACACAGCAGGGTTGAGGCCTTTGATAGTGAAAGCTTTACACAATCTAAATCTACTTAATAAGGCACCCCACTGAGACGATGGAGAGTCCATGACACAACATAACTGTTCATATATGAGAGAAGGATTTACTTGCAAACTAATACTATTGCAAAACAAAGGGAGATTGTTCTACATCTAGTTGCTTTAAAAAACCTTGATTAGTTTAACGGGATTTCATGTGGCAGACCATTGCAAACAAGTTCACGATTGTAAAGTGTGTGGAAAATTATAGCCTTTATAGTCTTAAACATATTAAAATCTGCAAAGTGTGCCATGCATTCCTATTCATTCCGCAATACACTGATGCTTCTAAATAAAGTCCAGCTGGGTACAGAAATGAAAGGATCATCAATAAATAATTCAGTTCAATTCAATTCAAAATACTTTAACGGAAATTAAATGTTGGAGTAACTCATAGGGTTTGGTTTTCTCCACAAAGATGTTGTAAGGTGTTGATAGCTGTAGGTAGGAAGGATCTTCTGTATCGGTCTGTTTGCACCGGATCTAGAGAAGCCTCTTGCTGAAGACACTCTGTTGTTGTCTAAAAATCTTCTGCAAATCTTTTGTCACTTCATGAAAAAATCTTCTTCGAGAAATCCTCCAGAGGTTCTAGAGGTGTTCCAATAAGAGAGCTCTCCTTCTTAATCAGCTTGTTGACTTTTTTAAGTCATTTGTTCTGATGCTGTTACCCCAGTAAATGATGGAGGAAGAGATCACACTCTAAGCAACAGATTTATAGAAGATATGAAGCATCTTGTTGTAAATGGAGGACCTATGTTTCCTTAGGAAGTATAATCTCCTCTGTCCCTTCTTGTAGACGGCTTCACAGTTGTGTTTCCAGTCTAGTTTGTTGTCCAGCTGAACACCAAGGTATTTATACTTCTCAACCACGTCCACTTCTTCTCCCATGATATTAACAGGATTCAACTTGTTCCTATTTCTTCCGAAATCTACAATAATCTGTCTTGTTTTGTTGACATTTAGGATCAGATAATTGTTTCCACATCATGTCAAAAAGAGGTTCACAAGCTCTCTGTACTCAGCTTCTTATCCATCTTTGATGCACCCGATGACTGCAGAGTCATCTGAGTATTTCTGCAGATGACAGGACTCTGCCTGGTACTGGATGTCAGAGATGTACAAAGTGAAAAGGAATGGATGGAATGCTGCTAACTACTGCAGCTGACCCCTCAGTCTAATAAACTGTGGTCTTTTTGTCGAGTAGTTTTTGATCCAGGCGATTGTTAATCCTCTACCTGAGTCTTCTGGGGGTTCACACAAAGTAAGTTAGGTTAAATTGCATTAAATGCAATGGAGAAATCAAAAAAACAATCCTCACAATGCTCTCTGCCTTGTCTAAATGATAGTGGGTTTGTTGAAGCAGGTTTATGATGACATCATAAAACTTCAACTCCATGGCGATAAGTACTCTGCGGGGGGTCTTGAAAGCAGCTTGATTGTTTACTGAGGCAAACCAACAGAAGTCTCTCTTGGACCTTCATGATGTAGGATGTCAGGCCAACAGGTCTATAGTCACTGAGGACTGCTAGCTGAGTCTTCTTTGGTACTGGAACAAGGCAGGAGATCTTCCGCATCACTGGAACGTTCTACAGGGTCAGACTAATGCTGAAGAGGTGCTGCAGAAACCCACCGAGCTGCTCTGCACAGGCCGTCAGGACTCTAGAGCTGACACCATCAGGACCTGGTAACTTATTACAATTCAGGCCCCGTCCACACGAAGCCGAACCCTGGCCTAA